TGAAGAAGGAGCCCGTTGCGTTCGGGAGAAGTTTTCCGTGTTCCTTTTAGTTGTTTTGCAGTGATCCTCGGGGTTTCCTGAGGTTTCCCATGGACAATCGCAGTTCAACTTGTGGGCGAAAGGGGCCCCGTTCCTTACTTAGGGTTCCTTAGGTCAACGCCCCGACTGTATCGTTTCCCATCAGCTCCTAGGCCCCAGGGGCCGTCCGCAGAAGTCACCTGTGCGTCACTCCAGTGCCTGGGCAGGGCCATTCTATTCCTCCACCTCCTCCTCTTCCTCTTCCGCCTGCTCAATGAGTACCAAGCATCGAGCTATCCAGCAAAGTCGTGGATGGAATTCACATGCGGATGCGTTGCTAAGTGTGGCACAAATCAAGAGCCTAGTCCACAAGCCAGCCTCCGAACAATCAAGGTACAGGAGGCGGGAAGGAGGTGGGCGTTTCGATCCCTGGCCGTGCAGAGTGGCCTTGCACTGGAAAGCCCTGCAGTGCCCTCTCCTATTCTTGGGTCATGGGCAGCGGACTTCTACATTTTCTTCCATTCGAGCCACGTTCTGGAGCTGCCGTGGGCCTGACCCCTTGGCGATGCGTGTCCTCCTCATTCTCCTCCTCCTCCTCTTCTCGTTGTCATTTTGGCCTATGCGGCTTTTTCGCAAACTCCCAGCCTCGCTCAAGATGGCGCAGTGCCGCTCTTGGCGCGCATCGTACTGTCGACCAGACAAAAAACCACGCGCGTGGCTCAGGAATTTCGATTCAACGCATGCTCTACGAATTGCCACTGATGAGGAGATCGAGTGCCTGTGCCAAGAGTTGGTCAACATTTTGCCCGCGCAGTCTCCTATCAGCTTGGACCTAGACGAGACACTGTTGCAGGGTTTTTTTTCGAAGAGTCGTGTCTGCTACGCGTTGCAGTCGGATGCCTGCAAGCGTTCAGAAGCCTGGCTCGCCGCCAGCATGATGGCCAGGATACCGATGCCACCGCTTACCATGCTGCCACCGTTCACCTCACAGGGAGTCGGCTTCAGGGCGGCTGGTGGTGGTGCTGGTGGTGGCTCTGCCACCAGGCGCATGGAAAAGCGTGCCGTCAGCGTGCATTGAACCGCCCTGTGCATGAAACCACGGCGTCAGCACAGTGCTGCCACGCGGCTGCGGTTCAAAGCTTTCTAGATTCGGAGTTCCTGCTCCGCTTCCGCCTCCTCGGCTCGACCTCATCCCTGGCTCCAGGGTATGTGAGTGCATCTGCGCTGAGACCTGCAATGGCAATTCTGGAAAGGCGTTCAGTGACCGATTGAGCGCGCCCTCGGCTATCATCCTGTTGGCGCAGGAGGTGGGCTTGCTGCATGATCGAGAGGAGGAAACGGCTAGAGTGCAAGCTGGTCTTTGAAGGAATGTTTTTTTTGTTCCTTCCTTGATGCTTGGCATACCAGGGCAGGAGAGGCGGTGTTCGCGCGTTCCCACTTGTGCCTTCGGTGATCTGCAGACGGCTCTGGCATGCTGGAGTCTGGTCGGTTGATTCACGCTACGGGCGGACTTCCTGAATGAGCACCCTCGCTCGCGATTCCTGGGCACCGTACGTCAGGCACTGTACAAGTGAAACGTTTCCCCAACTCTAAGAAAGAAAAGAGTTAATGAATACCTGTTTGTTGTTCTTGCCGACCAGGATGTGGTGCTGAGTTGTATTTGATTTCGAGAGTTTGTCGCCGAATCAGTGGGCTATCAAACCTACCGACAAGCGTGTTCCGTAGGTTAACCACGGTTGGCTATTCCGTTGCTTGCGAGTTCTCGTTCTCGTTTTGCTTCAGCCTGAGAACGCGTCCAGGCCCGCACGTTCCAGACCAGCCGCCCTCGCAGCCTGCTGTGCAGCACCGCGCGGCCTGTCACGGCCCACTCGTGCCAGCTCACTCGCCGGTCGCATCGAAAATGGCCGGCGCCCTCGCCCATGGGACCCACGCCTCGTCTTCATGGCTGGCGCCTGCTCCCCCCCTGGCGTCGCCGAGGAGGCGGCCGCGTCGCCTTTGGCTCGTCCTGGCTCTGGCCCAGAGGCACTGGGCCAGCGCCTTTGGGCTGGACCTCGAGTCGTTCACAGGCAAGCCGACGGCACGCAAAGGTTTCAGAGGTGGTTTCCCTCAGTTTCCGTTGGTCCCGAATGCGCTGAACCCAGAGCAGTTGGTGAGCGGGTGCAGAGTACCGGATCGATACAGCTTGCTCACCAACGAGAAGAAGCTACGGGGACTTCAGGCAAGCTCGCTCCAGCAGAATCTGGGGGACGCTAAATTTGGCGCTGCTGCCTGGGATCGGTGAAAACGAGATGCGCAGGTCCAGGTGCAGCTTCTTAGCCGTCGGTCCCCAGAGGGGCAGCGTGGGCGCTTTCATGGCGGTGGCGCAGGCGCGTGCGCGTGTTCGACATCTTCCCTTTTTAGACCATCTGGATGAGTGGATCAAAAGCCTCTGCTACCTCGTCGTCCTCCTCGACGCCCTCTTCCTCCTCTGCCTCTTCTTCCTCCCGCTCCCCTCTTATACCCTCCTTCAGCTGTCGTTCCTCCCCTTCCTCCCCCTCTCTCCCTGATGATGATGAAGACGACGATGATGATGATGAGGATGATGATGATGGTGATGATGATGGTGATGGTGGTGACGATGGTGATGATGAAGATGATGATGATACTGAGGATGATGATGACGACGACGATGGTGACGACGATTATGGTGATGATGATGATCATGATGATGATGATGATGATAATGATGATGATGATGATGATGATGATGATGATGATGATGATGATGATGATGATGATGATGACGATGATAATGATGATGGTGATGATGATGATGATGATGATGATGATAATCATGACCACGATGAGGATGAGAAGGAGAAGACGGAGGAGTAAGGGAGGATGAGAAGGATGAGGATGAGGATGAGGAGGAGGACGACTTCGACCAATGATCACGATGATGGTGGTGATGACGCTGACGATGATGATGATGCTGATGATGACGACGACGATGGCGATGACGATGACGGTGACGACAATGACGACAATGCCGACGATGACGATGATGATGATGATGCTGATGATGTCGATTATAACGATGATGATGGTGATGATGATGCTGATCATTGTGACGATGATGATGATGATGCTAGTGATGATGATGCTGATGATGACGATGATGTTGATGGCGACGATGATCATGATAATGCTATTGATGATGATTGCTCTGGTGGTGATGGTAATGACGAGGGTAACGACGATGATGATGATGATGCAAATGATGATGCAGATGATTATGCTGATAATGATGATCATGATCATGATGATGATGATGATCATGACGATACTGATGATGCTTATGCTGGTGATGATGATGACAATGCTGATGGCGATGATGGTGATGGTGGTGATGATGCTGATGCTGATGATAATGAGGTTGACGATGCTGATCGTTGTGACTACGATGATGACGAGGCTGATATTGATGATGATGTTGCTTCTGACAATGATGATACTGATGATGATGAGGATGATGATGATGCCGATGGGGATGACGACGATGACTGGAGTGGTGGTGATGATGACAATGGTGGTGATGACGATGACGATGACGATTATGCTGCTGATCATGCTGCTCATGATGATCATGATGATGCTGCTGCTGATGTTGATGATGCTGATTAGGATGATGGTGATTAGGAAGATGATGGGGATGCTGATGATGATGCTGCTGATGATGGTGATGATGATGGTGCTGCTGTTGGTATTGATGATGCTGATGCTGATGCGTATGGTGATGATGGCGATGGCGATGATGATGAGGATGCTGATGATATCGATGATGATGATGGTAATGATGCTGACTATGATGCTGATGATGATCTGATGACGGTGCTGATGATGATGGTGATGATGATTCTTGTGGTGGTGGTACTGAGCTTGGACATGCGCGTGCGGATGCGGAGGTGAGGATGGGGATGAGCGTGAGGAGAGTGAGGACGAGGATGATGATGCTGATGATGATGATGGCGATGATGATGACGACGACGATGACGATGACCACGGCTCTGATGATGCTGATGATGATGCTGATGATGATGCTGATTACGCTGACGATGATGCTAATAATGCTGATGATGATGATGCTGCTGATGATGATGATGATGATGATGATGATGATGATGATGATGATGATGATGCTGATGATTGTTCCTTCTGCGCCGTTGGCCCCTACATATATCTATATATGTATATGTATACATCTATAAATGGATTGTCCTTGTGGTGGCTGAAAGGAGCTCCTGCGAACCTTATGCCGAGGAATCGTGATTCAGACACGCTGGTGCACACTGACTCGCAAACGAGAGGCGGCGTGCGGTGACATCGACCGAGACGACCAGCGAAGCCGCAGGGCGAGGGGGTCGAACCTATGGCCGACAGTGGCCCCGCGGCTGGCCCCGCCGACCGACACGAGAGTTACGGCCGACTGGAGAAACGAACATATTGCCTCGTGCGTTTCAACATCGAGCGCAACCTATCACGTTTTTCCCCGCTCGATCCCAAGAGACGCCAAACTAGCACTAGGAGTGGAGGGTCCCTCGGGGGGCGGCATTGCCGGGTTGCACCAGAGTGCCCTGGGTCCCCGTCGCATTCGAAGAGGAGGAAGAGGAGGGGTCCACGGAGCCACGGCGAGACGCGTCTCGACGCTGGTCAGGAAGAGTCCCAGGGGCCCCAGAGGTCCGAGCGGAGGGAGGGGAGAGGCTGCTATTCTCAGGCGAAGCACTCAGCGTCACGGCGGGGTTGCCAACAGGCAGAGCAGCAGCAGGAGCGCTAGCAGCGGTAGCCTCGCGTACCCGCTCAAGTATTACAGCAGTTGGCTCACGTACTCGCACGGGTACTGCAGCTGGCTCACGTACTCGCTCAAGTTTCACTGCAGCAGCTGGCCCACGTGATCCTGCAGCTCGCGCTCCATGAACGATGCTGGAACTTGCCCTGCTTGTGGCTCATCCCCACCTGGACGCAGCTCTGGCCACCTGGCGCCACCGCTCCTCGCGCAGCACGAGGGTGATCCTCTTTTCTTTGTCGTACGCTTTGTCCAGGCGGCACATTGTGATCATCTCCATCTTGTCCTCCACGGTGTGTGAGTCGAGCCACTCCCATATCTCCATGACGTTGTTCGCGTTCATACCTCTCACCTCGCTGCCCCTCTCCTTCAGCGCCTCGATCAGCCCTGCGGACGCCCAGGTATACGGCGCTCCGCGGGGGTGTCCTTTCCCATCCTTCTTCACCGCCGTCGAGTAGTTGTGAGTCTGCTCCGAGATCTTCGTCGCCTTCAGGCCGTCGGCAGGACAGAGAAAAGTGTCGAATAGGCACCCGCCGAACTTGCGCATCCCCCTGCGCGCACCTCAGGAGCTGATTGATCATCAGGAGCGGGAACCGACGAAGCCCTTTGTCGCAGACGCCCTTGAGTCGCTTGTCCTTGCTGCCCCCCTCTTCCTCGGTGCGGGGCTTGACGCGGCGGCATGCGTCCTCTTCTCCAGCAGCTCCTTCTGCCGCCTCGAGGGTGGCGGGCATGGCTCTCCACAATGCGCGGAGCAGGGCGAGGCAAGTGTTCTTCACGAGCATGTGTGTAGCATCCTGTCAGGTTAGCAAACTCGGGCCCACACATGGTACAGATAATCTCAGACGGGACGTTGAACTCCCATGCTTGATGGCCTCCCTGAGGCCGGCAGCGCCCAAGACTCCACGAAGCTTGAACATGTTTCGCATTGTCTTTTGAGGAAAACGCGCTCCCACAGTCCATATACTGATTCGCGATCACACAGCACCTAAGCAGGCACAGGACGCCACGACCCCCACCGCGAGCCTTCGTCATATGCGTCGCCAGCTTCTTCAGCGAGTCAAAGCACAGGCTGCAATCGGCGCTCTGCACGTCCAGCAGGCCACATACGTACTCACCCTGGGCCTCCTCCGTCACGCGAGCCTTGGGCGCCAGCTTCTCCCACAGCCGACCCTCCCTCATCAGCGGCACCTCGAGTAGCTTCGCGTCCACCTTCAAAAAGGCCTTGGACACATCCTCGCAGCTCCACAACTCCAGCCTCGCAGCTCCACAGCTCCTGCTGCGCGCGACCGACGATCGTCCACTCCTCGAAGAAGTCCTTGGTGCCGCTGATGCCCTCCAGCAACATGAGGTCTCGCGTGAACTGCCTGGCGCACGGGCTCATGGACACCGTCAGCTTCCCTTCCACGTCGATGGGAGACGGGGCATCCTCCAGATGGCCCCACAGCGCAACCATCACCTGCTGATGAGCAAGAGGGTGTCGTACCATGTCTTGTAGCCAGCGCACACGTTGCATCGCCAGAGCCGCTCGTGCAGGGACCATTCCGCAGCGCTTCATCAGCTCCCTGTTAGTGAGAACCTTTATGTGTGTGTCGTGTGCCACCTGCGCCCCGCCTTCGAGGACCCTCAACTTGTTGCAGATCTGCACGCCCAAGCGGTGAAGCGCTGCCTCCGAGAGAAAATCACTCCGCATGCCCGACAGAGCAGCCCCCACCACGTTGCCAAGAAATAGTTGTCGTCGTAATGTGTGAGGGCTCTTCGCAAACCATAATCTGCCCATGTCAAGCCAGCCCTTCTTCAGCGCGTCAATGCGATAGCCGACCTCAACATTCGCGCCGTCGTTCCTCGCGCACCGCCCGCCAAGATGGCGAGCACGTGGTAGAATACGGCCAGAACCGTTGGCCAACTGGGCTTTGAACTTGAGGTTCCCTGTCGGCTTGAGCTCAGTGACCAACTCGCGCTTCTTCATGTTCTGCCTGAAGCCCCCTTCTCGAGCTCGTTGTTCCAGATGGTCTGGCTCTCGTTGATGATCGCATGAGCATGCGACGCCAGACCAGTCAGCACCACGTGCCCCTTCTTCAAGTCGCCAGCGAACTGAACCACTGCGCACGAGGCAGGCAACTCCTGGGTGGGGGTTTTAAACATGAGCACGTCGTCCTATGCAGCACACTCAGCTCGCCATCGTTGCACAGGTCCTCTGAAAGCCACCGCAAACTCCGTTGGGGCCTCGCAGGCGTCCATGGGACCGCCTCGACCGAGGGCAACATGCAACGCCTCGCAGCGCGCCTCAACCTCCACGATGCGATGATGGCTTCGGTCCTGCAGCAGTGCCCAATCCACAGCGTCAGTCATCTCCTCCACCGCCTCGTCAGGCCACTCCACCGGGGTGCAGGCGAACGCCGACAGCGTTGGACATGTCGAGCAGCTCCGACACGCTTCGAACCCCCCGCTGCCTCAGTGCGTAGCCGACACAGCGCGTGACCAGCATAGCCTCCTCCCGCCTCCTGTGCGCCAAGTATCCGTGACACGTCGGGTCGAAGTTCATCTCGAACTCGTGGCAGATCGGCTTCGTCAGGAGGCCCCCGAAGAAGATGTTCCAGAACATGCAGACCAGGTGGATGAGCCTCTTGCCGTCCAGACCCTTTAGGCCATATCTGTTCGCCCAGGGAAAAGCCAAAGGACCAGTGTGCTGCAGCCGATGCTTGGTCCACTCGACGCGCGTGGAGTAGAACTTCCCGCCTCATCCTGACAACTGCAGCCTGACTCAGCCACCTCCTCGATAATAGGTTGTCCAAGTCCGCGTGGTGGACGCCTCGCAGTCGTGCAATGTCCAGGTTCGAGGCAACACAAAAGCAGCTCAACAGGAGCGCCCCGCTGCACCGATCCTCTGCGCTTCCCACTGTTTCGCATAGTCCAGATCGTACGACGTAGATCGCGTTCAGCCAATTCATCTAGGTATGCGCTCCTTTCTCCAAGAGCTGCGGCGGTAGTCCCTCGTCGTCACGTCGTCTTTGAAGCTCAGCACGATCCACTCGAAATGCAGACATGCCCCCCTCCGCGCTCGGCTTCGCCATGTGATCTACAACCGCCTTCGCAGACGGGCGAGACTCTGGTGTCGTAAGGTATTGTCGACGTCGAGTACCTTGGGCTCGCTCGGCCAGAAGATGGGCAACGCGATGCTGCTCGAAGGTGTGCCCCAACTTCTCTGCCTCCTCAAGGTCCGTCTCCAGCGAATCACGTCTCTCAGCTCGTCATCGTCTTGCCCACTGCCGAAGCTGCTTCGTCAGCCGCTTGCCGGGCTACAGCTGCCCACATCGTCGACGGTAGAATCCAACATTCGCGAGCCCAGTTCTGCCACGCGCTCTCGCTCCTCAGCACGCAAGGCAACCAATCGACGCCTCTCAACTTGCAAACGTGCCTCTGTTGTGTCACGTCTTCAGGTGGGTCTTTTTGGAAACGAATCTGCCCGATACCTTGAATCAGCTGCATGATCAGACTCCAATGTTCATCGACTCGTCGTTTTTCGCGAAGGGATGTGAACTCATCATGCTGTCAGAAAGTCTCTTCCAACTGTATTAGAAAAGTGTCGCGTCCTTTGCCTGGGGTAAGTGCGTAACTTTGTTTCGGCAGTGTGTGACATACTATATTGCATCTCCACATTTTTGTAGTCCAGCACCAGCAAGAGAGGTAAGTGATCCCGTGCCCTTCTATCAGGAATAAGTTGAAGCCGTCGCCCCTGGTAGTAGCTCACCGTACACTTGAGGACGTTCCCCAGCGCGACCTCTGGGATGAACCAGTGGTCGATCGTAGATCCCGTCACATTGGTTCCGAAGAAAATGGGGCCACCCTCTCGATACCAAGTACTAGGTGAGCATAGCGATCTCGCGTAGCACAGCTGCTCCGCCAAATCTCCTGATAGGTTCTGTCGTGCTCTGTGGTGCTCCCCTGCATGTTCCTCAGCCGCTGGAACGCCGTCGCTGCACTCGCCGAAGCCGCTGTCCACATCCAAGCCCACTGCCAAAAGCGGTCGAGATCGAGTGCCCTCAACGATGGAGTCGATCTTGTGGTGAATCTCCATCACCGCCGCCTCGTAAACAGCAATCTTTTTCCCTGTGGCCCCGTCGGTGGTGGATATCCGACGATCAGCGCCACGTCAACCTTGCCGCTCTTCACGCGCACCGCGCCAGCTCTGCCCTGAATTGCTTTCGGGGCCGTGAAAATGTCCACCACGTCTTTAAGTCGAAATTGTCGTCCGAGTATGACCGTGCAGCCCGCCGACCGATCTGGCCCAGGCAGAAGCGGCCCGCCCGAAGTGAATAGCAGAGCACCCGCCGCCCAGCTTCTCCACCTGATGCTGGCGACCTGCCCCGCTCCGGATGCGAGTGCCTGGGAGCAAGCTGGCGGCGGCGCCGAGCTCAGGCGCCACCTCACGGCAGCGACCCGCGGAGATCAGCGACAGCGGGTTGAACACGAAGATCTTGGAGGGGCCCCGGAGCTCGCATGCTCCGGCCACGCGCCGCGCGCCCCCGAGGCGGCTGCATTCCGCTGGGCCCCTCGAAGGGGAATGGCGCGCCCGTGAAGGAAGGGCCGGCGAGCGCTCCTGGTTGCGCTGCTGGGATGCGCTCGGAGCCCAGGCGCGTTTGACGAGTAGGATGCTGATGATTAGGATGATGATGAGGATGAGGATGATGCTGATGGTGATGCTGCTGATGATGATGTTGATACTGCTGATGATGCTGATGATGATGTTGATGATACTGATGATGATGATGACGTTGATGTTGTTGATGATGATGATGATGATGATGATGATGATGATGATGATGATGATGATGATGGTGATGATGATGCTGTTGATGCTGATGATGATGATGATGATGATGATGATGATGATGATGATGATGATGATGATGATGATGATGATGATGATGATGATGAATAGGATGATGCTGATGATGGCGATGATCATGATGATGGTGATGCTCATGATGATTCTACGAATATTGACGATGATGATTGTGAAGAAGAAGAGGAGGAGGAGGAGGAGGAGGAGCACGAAGTGGCAGAGAATGGGGATGATGGGGATAAGGACATCACGTTATGTGCACTTGCAACCAGCTCCATCACGTTATGCGTATCCCTTTCCCCCTACAGCCCCTCCTCCTCCTCCTCCTCCTCCTCCTCCTCCTCCTCCTCCTCCCCCCATGCTGCTCCCCGTCCTCTTGTTCCTCCATCTTCCCTTCCTCCTCTTCCTCTCCTCCTCCTCCTTCTCCTCATCCTCCTCCTCCTCCTCCTCCTCCTCCTCCTCCTCCTTCTCATCATCCTCCTCCTGTTCCTCCTTCTCCTCTTCCTCGTTCTCCTACTCCTTCTCTTCCTCCTCCTCCTCCTCCCCCTTCTCCTCCTGCACCTCCACCTCCTCTTTGTCGTCGTCCCCCCTGCGGGCGTAGGGATGCTGGTTTACGGCGTGTACACCTGCCACCACGGTTTCGATTTCAAGCACAGCAGATGCCGCGGAGAGGTGCTCGTCTCGGCGTCGTCGATGTCGTCGTGGTCGTTGTCGTGGTCCTGATCGTGAGTAGTCGTGGTCCTGGTCGTGGTCGTGGTCGTCGTCGTTGCGGGCATGGTCGTGGTCGTGGTCGTGGTGGTGGTGGTGGTGGTGGTCGGCGTCGTCGTCGTGGTCGTCGTCTTGGTCGTGGTGCTGGTGATCGTCGTCGTCTTGGTGCTCGCGGGCGTCATTTTTATGGTGGGGATCGTCGTTGTTTTTGTTGTCGTTGGCGTCATTGCCATGGTGGCGGTCGTCATCGTCTTGGTGGTGGTCCGCGTCATTATCATGGTGGTTGTCGTCGTCGTCTTGGTGGTGGTCGGCGTCATCGGGGAGGACGAGGTAGAGGAGGGTGAGAGGAACGCTTGATGAGGTGGCGGAGGAAGAGTAAAAATAAAGTACCCCATCACAGCACCTTGATAAGAGCACGGGTGAAGAGGCGGGACAGGTGTGAGAACAGCGGGGGCAGGGGTGAGAGAACGGCCATGTGCACCTCAGTGTGTTTTTTCCCCCCAAACGTCCCGTGGTGTTGGGCCCTCGTTTTGACGGGAGAGCGCCCCGCGTCACTCCTCTCCTCCTCCTTCCCCTCCCCTTTCCTCCAGTCCCTGCCTCTGCCCTCCGCATGCCCCTGTTTTGTCACACTCTTCACGCGTGCCATGGCCCCACAGGGAGCTCCACCGAAGGCACCAGAGAGAGCGTTCGCATGCGTCCGTGCCACCCAGTACAGTGTTTCATGGCCCCACGGGGAGCTCCACCGAAGGACCCAGAGGGAGCGTTCGCATGCGTTCCTCCTTCTCCTTCTCCTTCTCCTCCTCCTCCTCGTACTTATCCTCCTTCTCCTCCTCCTCCTCATTCTCACCCTCATCCTCATCCTTATCATCATCTTCATCCTCTTACTGTTTTCCCATCCTTTGGGTCTTCCCATCCTCTTCCTCTTATTGTTCCTCCTCCTCTTCTTCGCATGCTTATTATTCTTATTATTATTATTCTTATTATTATGATTATTATTATTATTACTATTATTACTATCATCATCCTGCATCCATCTCCTCCTCCTCGCCCCTTATCCGCTCGCCTCTTATCCCGATCCCTGGGATAACGAGTGCGCGGGCATATTCAGTTTTGGTGTCGAAGCTGTGTATGCCATCTTGGTGCTCCCCCGTTTCAGGTATCCCCCCCAGGACTGCCATCAGGAACCACCTCGACGCGCGCGCGCGCCCCCCTCCCTCTCCCCCCCCCCCCCCCGGGTGAGGACCGTCTCTAGGCCTTACCCGTGTGGACCATCATAGGCCCCACACCCCGCGCAGCTTCCATCATAGGGGCTGCGTGGGTTCCCCACCCACACCTTTTCATGATGGCGCCAATTGCCACCGGAGGGGGCCGAGGACCTCCCTGCAGCCCCTCGGCCAACGAAGACGGCTGCAGGGAGGGGCCCAACGTACCT